AGGGATGGGAAGGGGAGGCAGGGAGCAAGAGCAAGAGCAAGCCACGCTGCTGGGGTCTTGCTGCACCACAGAAGAAGCACTCACCAAAGAGCCTGACAGCTGAATTCTCCTAAACCAATGGGGAACCACAGAGACGGCGATCAGGAGCAGTAAAACCTGAAGGCAGCACCACACACTCCCTGCACAGCTTCAGCAGAGACTGCTAGAAGCCCGAGTCCCCCGGAGCTGTCTGCATGAAATTAGGGAGATGCCGAATGCAGAGTAGGAGGGAGAGACTTAAAGGCACTGCTGGTGTTGCACAGCCCCTTCCTCCACCAGCAAGCTGTTGTTGAGCTCTGGGTGTGTTTAAGGAGCGATGTAGGCAAATGAGATGGAGAAAGGGGTGCTGGCAGGGGATCACCCATGACAGGAGGTTGCGGGGTGTTTGCAAGGGGTCCCCAAGGAACCACATTGCAGCTGGGTCTTGGCCACGGGCACAGCTTATGAGACAGGGATGGTCAGGGGCTGCTGCGGGACACCATGCTCATGTGGTTGCAGGTGAGCTTTGCTCCATCTGTGCCTCCCGGCCCTGGTGCAGGACGGGCAGCTGCCCACGCAGGCAGCGGCGCTTGTCCCTTGGCAGGTCCTGCATGACAACAGGCCCTCACCCTAACCCACGGAGCATTTAATTGATTCCCAACAAAAGCGCACTCTGCGTTCACATGAAGCATGAGAGGAAATAGCCGCTCTGGAAATTTGTAGCAGTGCGGAAAGAGATTATTGAAATAAAAAAAAAAAAATTAGAATTACAAATGAGCTTTTCAAGTGGCAGCTGTTATCCACTCTGCTCACATGCTCGCTTTGCACAGCGCCGGAGCACATCTGCGTAGGGAGAGGTATCTGACAGCAGGTATTTTTAATCTTCTCTTTCTGTTCCCGGCACCTGCTCTTTAAAGCCACTGAACAGCAAAAAAAAAAAAACCAACAAAGACGATGGCTAAATATATCCTAACTAAGAAGAGAGACAGAGCAGCGCTAATGGCAGATCCTTCCTTGGATGCATGCAAATTGTTTTGGCTCAGAGACAGGTTTAGAGGGAAGAAGCAGCAGATGAAAAGGAAAAACAATAAAAGAAGGGAAGGGAATTAGGGCAAAAAAAGGGAGATAGAAAGAAGACAGAGGGACTGATAAGTTCCACTGCACCAATTTCCAGAGAAAAACAAGCTCATTTAATTTTTGTTTTTAAATGCAACCCTGTGCAGACCACGTAGCAAACACTCACCTTTTAGCAGGGAGGATGGGCTGTGAACCAGGCAAGGGGTACCCTCGGTGTGCCCAGGGTCAGGCAGGATCCAGGTCACTACTCTCCCTCACTTGCTAGACTTGCTCAGGAGACGCTCTGCTTGGCCTCAGCCCTTCCCCATTGAAGTCCCTTCTTCTGGTAGGCAGCAGCCCACCCAAACAACCCCCCAGCTGCCCTCATTCCAGTCTCTGCCCCTACTAACACCTCCCCTTCCCCCTTTAGTACCCAGGATTGCCCTCAGCTGCCTCCCAACCCTTCCCCAGCAAGCCCAGGCTCCTCCAGATTTCCTAAACTGGCCCTTGGGACTCTCCGAGTCGCTTTGACTTCTCCAGCTCTCACTGCCTATCTCTAGCTCATGCATGCCCTGGTCCCCAGATGTGTTTTCCCTGCCTGCTGAGTTGGCTCTTGCCTTTCCCATTCCTTACTTGTTTGTCCCCATCCCTACTACCAGCCCTCACCCTGGGCTTTGCCAGTGACTTGCCATCCTATTGCTGCTCATCTCTCACTAGTTTATCCCCCAAGCAAGGATCAAGCCGAGACCTTGATGCCAGCTGCTTGCTGGAGCCTGGGGTTGCTTTTTATCAACTGGAGAAAGCATTTGTTTGCTTTTTGTGGCCTGATCATGCTTGAGCCATCCACCCTGCTCCCTTTGCTGGGAGACCTTGCTTGTGCATCCCCCACCGCTGGTCCTGGTATGGGGAGGAGGCTCGGCACTTGTTTTCGTGCTTGGCAATAAGGCAGTGTGACCAAAACATGGCCAGAGGGGCAGGCAGAAGTTATGCCACTGGCAGCTCCAGGTCCAAAGGAAAGGCTGGTGCCCCAGCCACACCACCTTTGCCGTGGCCATTTCTTGCTGCATGTCAGTGCGTTTAATGGGCTGATAAAGAGCTCCCCAGCCCTCGCCGCTTCTCCCCACAGGACAGCAGGATGTATACAGAGGTGGTTGGGCTGGAAAGAGCCAACTGGCTGCCTTGGCAGCCCCACGTCTCCCTGCCACACTCCCAGCAGGGCCAGTTCTTGGTTTTCCATTTTCCCAAACAAGTAGCTACCTGGTGCTGCTGCCCTGGCTGCAGTGTGGTAAGCCCAGCCCCTCCAGGCAGGTCCTACAGATTTACATGTGTTTCTGTGAGGTACCTGGTTCAGGGGAGCAGGTAATTTGTCTGCGATGAAGGGCTGCTCGTGCGACCCATCTGCACTGGCCATCACCGCTCTCTGTGCTGCCTGTGTCCCTGCACTGAAGCCAGCGCTCCTGCTCAGCTCCGACCACAGCTACTCCCCAGGCAGACACCAGCAGCCCCTCACTGAAGCTTTGCTGCAGCCTTCTCCAAGAGCGGCTGCTCCTGACACCGCTTGTGCTCAGGTCCTTGGTTTTGGGGTTTGGGGTGGGCAATCCATCACAGGTAGCAGTGGGGTGTACCCAGAAAAGGACAGCAATGCACTGGTGGAAGGCTCTTCAGCTTTACCTTCCTTGTAGTCTCCTAGATCCTAGTGACAATATTTCTGACTCATCTCCCCAAACTGTGCCTCCGGGGAGACTGGTTCTAAATTGCCTCAACAGAGGAGACTGACTGCTTAGAGTTAACAGGTCCCTTCTTCGCTGTCCCATCCAGCATGTCTGCACCAGTGAAACCAGCACACGGAAGGATGAGGGCAGGGTCCAAGAAATCACAGGCTTCTCCCACCCTTTTCCTCCTCAGCAATTCTGCTAGGAGATACTCCTCCATCCCTGGGCTCGCAGTTCCCGCTTTCCTCTCCACGCAGGAAAACGTGCTCGACTCACATCTTTTCAGACACTCAGGCAGAGAGTAACTAGTCTCAGGCTGTTTATTACGTCCTCACGGTCTCTATACAGTACAGGTGAGTAACACTTTACAATGTGGTGACACAACTTAGGGGGGATATCATCGCTGGTCAGACAGCTGGTATGGCTGAGGAGCTTCTCCAGCCTCATAGGGGAAGGTGAGCCTAGGAAACGAGCAGGTAATGCAGAAGGAAGGTCAAACCGAACTCGAGCCCATGCCTTCCCCTGAACGGGAAGGAATCAGACTGAACAACCCACGTGTCCTGCCCAAACAGCTCCTGCTGTTATCTACCAACACCAGCAGCACCCAGACACTGTGGAGGCAGTTACAGCATCAGGACCAAATTAAAATAAAAACATGGCATAGGGAAGGTCTTAAAAGAGCTGGTCTTTCTACCCAGCTACCTGGTGGCTCACTTCTGAGTTTACTCCCTACTTTAACGTCCTCCTAAATCTCTCCAGAGCCACCCACAAGCATGTTTCCCAAGGAACAAGTCATCTTTATTAAGACAGCCTTATTCGCTGCTTGGGTTTGGAGTCAGATCCTCAAGGCCCCTTCCTGCCAGTGGGACACTGCCAACCCACTGAAGATGGAGGTGCCAGAGAGCTTAAAGAAAAATCTGAACTCTGCGTGTCTGATTTAGGGTGCTTGTAAAGGAGGCGGGGAGAGAGGTTATAGGAGGATGAGATACTTCAGTCATAGTTTTTAGGGAAGGGGGATCTAACCCAGGGAGTACTTGTACCCTGCTCTCTTCATTACCAGTAATCCCGCAGAGGACTGCATAAGTAAACACAACACAAGATGCCTCCTCCCCCTCATTGCTTCTTAACTGGTGACTGCGGGCACTGATAGAGCAACGGGAAGACATTTCTCTTAGGATAATGCTGTTATCTACACTATAAATGCAAAGCCGAGCAGCTCCTCATTCGTCATGTTTTAGATCCAGCCTGGGGCATGCAGCACATGATGCAAACTGGGAGTTGTGGGGCTACTGGAGACAAGCGATTCACACTGTGGCTGGTCCCCATACCTCACACCGGGTCCCTCCAGAAGCAGGCACTGCCTTTTTTTCTGTGCCTTTTTGCCAGAAACATTGGGTTTTTTGGTAATAAGCTCATCCCCTTTTGCCACCTCCCTCCCATGCCCTCAGTTCCCTGAACTCCAGTTAAGTTTACTGCAGTCTCCAATCAGAGATACGTCCCTCCAGTAAAACCAAGAGGAGGCACAGAGCAGAACGACTGACTTTACTAAGCAAATACAACACACACACCTTTATTTACACTCTTTTTTTTATATCAGAAAGCCAAGAGGAAGCACAGCCGTGATCCTGCTGAAGCAGCCGCTGCCTCTGTGCAGCACGGCTGCCCTCTCAACTAGCCAGCCCCTGCCACAAGCGCAGCACGTGGAGTGTGGATGGAAGAAGACGACATGATACTGGGGACAAGAAGAGCCTCTGCAAAGCCCAAGGGGTGCGTGGAAGAGAAAAGCATTCTGATCTAGCAGCAAAATGTGCTTTAATTCCAGTTTTGTGATATAATGCTTTGACGCTGGAGAAAACACAGTACCAAGGAAGAAGACAACTGCAGCAGCCGCAGGAAAGAAAGATAATGCAGAAATGATGTGAAGCATTTTCTTCTTATATAACGGGCAAGGAATAGCTACTAGGAGCTTTATAGTGACAGTAGGAGGTATGTAGGAGAGAGATGGCAAGACCAGAAACAAGGGTCTGGGGAAGTAAAAGGCAAAGAAGAGAGGAGGGATATATGGGGATGGAGGGTGTGCAAACAGGAGGGCATGGGAGGAGGTTATGTGAGACCCAGGCTCAGGTATACGGGGACAAACAGTGCTGGTGGAGAGGAAGGTTGGCATGGACAGGAGTGCTTCAGGGGGGAAACTGTAAGGAGGAAGAAGAGGGAAGACCACAAGGACAGGACTGAGAAGGAGAGAGGGGTTTGGAGGGAGAAGCAAGAGGCCCCCAGGGAGGGGAGAGCTTGCACTGACAGGTGAGAGGCACTCCAGGACTGGCATGAGGTATGCTTTGCTATTGCTCTGAATGCTGTAAACATTTTGGTTTTGTGTCTATCAGTGAACATTCAGTTCAGTTTGATACATGTGCTCTTATGGGTAACTGGAAGCCGAGCAGAGTTTTACGTCTCTTATTACTAGTGAAACTTACGCACAAGGCAAACACAACACTGGCTAAAAATCTCATTTTATGTCATTTATGCCTAATTCTCCTATTTTAACATGCACATCTATGTCTCAGAAAAGCTTCTCTAGTAGGAGACACTAAATAACATACACGTGAAGTCACATGCACTCCCACCCATCCACTCCCACAGACACACACACACCTATTTCCCTCCCCTGCTTAGCCTAGCAGGACTTTGCCCTTCACACCTTCCCAGCGTGGAGGGCAGGGACCCATCAGTACATTAACAAGTCCAGTAAAAGTGATGGAAATCATCCCAAACCTGGCTGATGGGCCAAAGCAGGAGAAAGAAACTCAAAGCAGATTGGGGTTCTGCATCTGCTTCTGGAGTTAACAACACCTGAAGCTTATAGAAAAGGGAAAGGCAATTTGTAAACTCTTTTTCCCTTTTGCTGTCAAAGGACTTGGGAGCTGACTGGATACAGGCCAGCAAAAACAGAATAAAAGGAGCTGAGGGAAACAATTTTTTTTTTTTTCCTCTCTTCATGTGATGGCACACTCTGACATCACTTGAAACAGAAGGAAAATCTTGGAGGTGTGTGGTTGTGGAGAGGGGAAACAGGGTTATAAGTTATGAATAACCCTTTCACATCAGTAAGAGATGAATCAAAGATAGGATATTTGTCCTTGATAGGGATTAGTCATCACTCAGTGCTTTCCGAAGCTTTGGTTCCATCGTTATTTCCTTAATCAGCCCATGGTTTAAGGGGAAGAGCTATAAGCTGCCTATTTTAATTCACTTCAGACTGACATTTGGCATAAAAGAAGCAGCTGGTGCCAATTTCTTGGGTTTGTTTTTTTTTTTAAATTACTTTAAATAACTAGTCTGCTTCCCTTCAGGAGAGACAAACTGTAAGAGCAGCAACAAAAATAACTGTGATAGACTTATATGCCTCAGACAATACTTGTGCTCCACTCTATGCTCTAGGATGTTTCCCATGGAGGATATTATCTGGCACCAATTTAATTGGCAAAACACTTCTCCTACATCAGCCGGCATGTGAATACAGTTCCTGTCACCACTGCAGCAATGGCAGTTCTGAATGCACCCACTCAAAGCAATTCCCCAGGTCAATAGAGGAGAGAGGGGAGCTTGGTTTTTACAGGGTGTTGGCTACTTTGAAGTTTTTCCACGAGTTCTGACACAAACTGAAAGGATGACAGCACCAATGCTGGAGGAGGTTGCTGACAGATGTTACATACTGGGTTTTCTGGAGTCACACTCCGAACAGGACCAGCCTTTGTAGTCATCAGGGAAGCTGGGGAATTGTCCACACTTCTGAGTATCTGTTCCTCATTCCTCGACAAAAACATCTGGGTTCTGCTGTTTCCCCATCGGCTGGTTGTCTCTGTGACCCTCACTGCCATGGGAGGCTGCAGGGCACTTTGCCGAAAAACCCTTGTCTGGGATGTATCAGCTGGCACTAGAGGTCAGCATCATCCAAGTCCACTCAGAAGGTTTATCGGTGGCTTTAAGAGAAATACCACAAGGCAGCTACTGTGGCTTTCTGCCTTCTCTTTGAACGCAATGACTGCCTAAGACTGCTGTCTCTTACATCCAGGGCAGCACTGGGATGCTTTTTGTATGTGCAGTCAAAAGGAGGCTGAAACGGAGGAAGGCAGGGCCAGATGAGGTGGCCTCCCGTCATCCCTTGCAACACAGCTTGTTTGGCAACACAGCATCGGGAAGCTGAGCTGCTGCGTTGCAGCGGTTGGATCACCGGTCGCAGTGCCATTTTACGGTTGCAGTGACACTGGGTACAGCTGGCACCACAGGCCATCTCAAGGGGAACTATTTCGGCCAAAGCAAAGCATGACCCTGAGAGATCCCAGTCCATCCTGTGTTATGCAGGTGTAGTAGACATAGACTTTTCTTGGAAAGGAGAGTTATTCCAGCCCCTCCTCACAGTCAGTGGCTTTGCATCCTCCCTTGCAGGTCAAGCATTGAAAGTGTTTCACCGCAATGTGGGGTGATTTGCCCTCCTCCTTCCCTTTCACCTATAGCAGGAGGGGGCTGTATAGGTGACGTGACTCTGTTCCACTTCCTATAGCCCAGATACCATGAGGGGCAGCCACTAGATGCATGAATCTATATCCTTTGCTTCTGTCTTTGACTCCTTCCAGAACATTGCACAAGTTTCCCCAGAGACCTGTCCTACTAGGTCTTCTTTGCCAGGTACCTTGTTTGCTGTAAAGCTGTGGGCTCATGAACAGCTAAACTCACAGCTGGTTGAGCCACTGCATGATGTAGACCCCTTGGATGAATCTGGGGCACTTTTCAGTGCCCATCTTCCACTGATCTTTTCCTACAAAACAACTGGAGAATTCTAGAGCTGACCAACCAGGTACTGAAAAGCATGTTTCCCTGCTGAACATAAATTTTGCACTTGCACCATATTTAGACTTTAGTGTCTTAGAGACCACAGGAACACACCTCCAAAATAAAACAAACATGCTTACCATCCCTATCTTGATCCTAAACCTATTTGTTCTAATGCCCTGTGCAGCATCCTTACAAAAAGCCTCAAAACCTGCTTCCTACCTAATGCGTGGACAGTAACTTTTAATATCCAAGCAGGTTTTTTGTATCTCATTCCAAACACGTTATACTTAGCTGTAGAATTCAGTCTACCTAGTTTACACCACATTAAACCTTCATCACCAGCTTTCTGATGTATCAAACCTACCCACCACTCCTCTCAACTAGAGCAGAAGTTTACAGCCTCTGATCCGTGGGTGATTCAGAGAAGGAAAAGATCCATGGGGTCACTTTCCAGGCCTTCATAAAACTAAGAAAATAGACCTCTGGTCTGTAGGCTCAAATCCACAGACAGGCTGTCTGCTTCTCCACTAGAAAATATTGCAAGAATCTGACAGCCGATAAGCTGGAACAGCAATGCCATAGAAATGGGGCCTTCAGATGGTAAGTATTACTGCACAGCACAGAGGAGGTGCTACACAACTGCCATCTGCACAGAGTCTTCTCCTGCAGCTGGCTATCCAGGCTATGGGAACAGGGCCAAAGTACCCTTCACACCACTTCACACCCGGATGCTCGTCCTGCTCACTGCATGCTTCCCTGTGTCCTGTTTTTAAGCAAGCACCATGCAAGAGGGTCCGTGTCTTTAGTAGTTCTTCACATGGCATTGAACCCACAGTGGAACATCGGTAGGTAACAACAGTCAATAAGCAGTAAATAACAAAAATATAATTGTGATTTTTCATGTTACCTCTCCCTGCCATGCGCTGGTCAGGTACTACATGAAAAATGCTATCTGCCATAGCAGACAGGTCTTGTGCTCTTCTTAGATCTCAGCATGGGGCAGATAGGACATTCCTTCTCTTGACTCTTTCCCGACAGCTGGCAGGTTGCTCCCGAGAAGCCACCAAGCCTGTTAATGTCTCTGGCGGCCCGGAGTCTCTTTGTGTTAGGTTTTGGTACGGTGCCTAGTACAATGAAGCCTGAACAACAACTGGGGTCCTGAGGCTGAACTACAGTACAAGTAAATAATGTTAATGAAAAACAATCCTTCTCACTAGAAGACTCGCCTGACCAGGTCTAGTGAGAGCTTTTAGGATTACCTTCCTCATGAGAAAAACTCGGCTCCTTGACTGTCATACAGAAAATAACTCTTAGTCTCCATCCCTGAAAGATAAGGGCTGTGACAGGGTAGCAGCTGGTGTCATAAGGTGTGGAACCAAAATGGAAAGGTGAGCTGAGTTCGCTGGTATGGTTTCCATGCCGGGAAGCAGCATGAATCATGTGTCTTTGCCCTCTCTACCTCCCCTCAGTCTCTGGATCTGGACCCCAGCAGCCAGCGTGGGAGACAATGCTTTGGACGAGACTTGGCTTCACAAGTTTTGGAACTGCCCTTAGGGCCCTTCCAAACACAGGGGAGAGGTGAGAGCCAGGGACACGTCTGGAAGGATGGAAAGGTGCAGTGGTGTTATTTACACACAAACCAACGTAGCAGTTTTAAAGGAAACCTGCTTTCCCAACAGATGACCCCATGACTAGAGAGGATTATGGGTTTGTGCTAGAGAGAGGCAACAACTGCAAGATGCTACCGCTAACCAAAAAAAAGTGCGGAAACTCAGAGAGTCCTAATACCACATCTGGATCATGCTCTGGAAGCCTCCTCTTCCTCTTCTCCCTCTTTTCTCATTCCCACTGCTTTTAACACCAAGAAAGTTTCACATTTAGACATGGGTTTTGGCTGTTGTGGGAAGCACGTGGTTTCTGAGGGCCCCATCGCTGCTCTAGCTTAGCCTCCTCTGGGTTTGAGACAGCAGGTCTGTGTAAATTTTGGATCTCAGGAACCTGGGGTAAGAGTCTTTCTCCATCAGGCTGTGCACCTTCCCCTGAGCTTGGTCAAAGCAAGAGAGGGAGGGCTCCTGCATATTTCTTCTTGTCAGCTCCCGTGTCTGGAAGTCTATGTTCACCTGGGAAAAGTAGCAGAAGAGAGTTTGGTACTGAGTGACCAGTTTGCCTGCTTCAAATGGCACATTTTGTCTCAGCCATGGCTGTAAAAGCAGCAGCAGAACCAAGGTCCTACCCTCGTCCATGCCTAAACAGCCCCCCAAACTCTGCGGGCTTTAGCGATCCAGTGTTAAAAATCCTGCCCCAAATTTGGAAAAGTTGAACTAGATTTATAGTGATCTGAGCACTTCTGAAATCAAATGGCTTTTATTCAGTCTCTTAAGCACAGGTTTATGTAGCACATCGTCTAAAATTGCTGACTCAGCCTAACCTCTCTCCTGTCTACCAAGATTTCTCTAGTGCCTTTATTCTGCACTACATGCCTGATATAAGGGTGAATGAACTTTTAGATGGGTTTAAACTATTAGTATGCTCTTATTAAATTTTTTTAAACTTTGTTGTTATAAAATAAATTGTTTGATTTTTCCCATAACAGCTTCGTGTTACAGTATCTCAAGCAGGGACTTGAAAAAATAAACCACTCTGATGTTATGACTGCCATTTGCTTGCAAAGCCAACAAGGTGAGTTTTCCTGTTTTCTTTCCCTAGCAAAGCAGTCAGCGTTTGTTAGGGTTACTGTTTAAAACCTGGCTGAAAAGATGTTATTTGTTGTTACTAACCCAGTGTCCAAACTTAAAGGAGTCTAGAAAGTAAAGCTGTCTACCTTAACTCAGATGACAGCAATATAGATTCGCTCCCTGTGTCACTTAGGGGTCATTTCACATTCTAGTACGCCAAAATTACGACAACAAGACCAAATTTTAGGAAAGACCCCATCCAACCTGCGCTCACATTTCTAATCCAGATTCAGCCCTGCAGTCCTTAAAAATCCCACCCAGCTTCATGAATAACAGCAGGAAGATGCTCACTGGGGGCGACGCAGATTGAAGCGTGCCCTGAGATGTCCACAGCCCTTGGTGTAAATCTGGGTGCTTCTCAGTGGCCTTGCAATAGCCTTCCTAGTTCAAAGATGGAGTAAAGAGAGCCCTTTTAGAGGGATCCCCTCGCAGGCACCTGTATTGTGACAAGCACCCGTGCAATCTAGCAGGAGGACCACCGTGGGAGAGCAGGTGCAAGTAAGCACCCTCCTGATGGCATTATGAATACAAAAACGCAACCCAACGTCACAACGCAGGATCTGACAGTTGCATCAACCTGTCAGTACTTGAAAGAGGACTTAACAAATCCAGGCTTTGGGTTGTGACTGCACTTTTTGTTCAGCTCTGAGTTATTGCTCGCATCTTTTAGGAGGTCTAATTGAGTTGGGAGTTAGTCAGCAGATAAACATGCCTCCCTGGAAAGTCAACAAGTTAGTCATTCGTGGGATGCTTCTATGCAAAATATCCTGTGAGAAATGAGCCCAATAGCCTGCTCGGGGATTAATAGTAAATGAGAGGAGCAAGGTGAAATACTCCTAGGAAGCTGATGGAGGTTAGGAAATGTAGGTTGCAGTTGCCACTGAACTCACTGGCTGTGACTAATTCAGTATCATCGAAGTAGTTGCCCTCACCAGGGGATGAGTCACCGTGAGCAGATGCAGCTGTAATAGACAGGATGGTATTCCCATCCTCCTTATCCACTCCTCATCATCGCCTCTGGCAGGGGAGGGTGAGCTCCCCAGCCCCCTGGCACCCCGCAGGTCCCAGGTGGGGGAGACGGACCTGCTCCCTGCCCCACAGGGATGCTCTGCCTGCCTGGGGTGCTGGCATACCCACCTCTCGAGGAGCCTGCACATCGATGAACTCCTCGAAGATCCGCTGAGCCTTGGAGGCCAGCTTGGCTGCCGAGCGGGTCTTCTTGAAGTCCTCGCAGGCGAGCCAGAACTCTAAGTTTTCCTCGCTGAACTCTGTCTTCAGGAAAGCACGGAAAGCGGCCAACCCATCTGCAAGAGACACACAGGGAGTTACAACAGGAGGAGAAAGAGGGCAAGGAGCAGTCTCTTTAACAGACATCCTTCCATCCACCCCTGCCTACCAAAGGCCCTTTGATTTTTCTCCCAAGGTCCGCGATGCCAGGATGCATCCATAACTTACACCATTGCATCAGCTGGACTCTTGTGAAATTCCACAAAGCCAAACATCATTTGCTGTTGCTCTGAAAAAGCATTTTTCCAGCTAATGTGACAAAAGGCTTTCTTTGAGATTGGGGCACCTAACCTTTGAAAAGTTCCTCTTGAAAACATCAAGCTTCAGCAATACGGGTTTTTTTGCCACAGCTTCTTGTGCATGTTAATGCAAAGCTTTGTAATGTCCTATCTGTCATTAAGAAAAACCTTTAATAAAACATAGTATCTGTGGACTTGTCTCCTATGTTTTCTGTCACTTTGCTATATCACCTTGTGACGTATTTTTAGGTCTTATTTAAACAGAGGAAGGATCTCGGAGAGTCTGTTACAGCTACAATAAAGGGGAGAGGGAAAGGACATGGCATAATTACTACTTGTCTAGTTGGTGGTAAAAGTGTTATCACTTGTTAATGCTTAGCAGTTGTGACATTTCAGTAATGTAATCTGAGTCAGCTGGGGCAGATTAGAAATATGGAAAAATTTATTAGGCAATCTGTGTCCTCTTAAACCCCTGCCTGGGTGTATTTATGGACACTACTATTGTTTTTTATTTCCTTTCCCTGAATGGCACCAGCAGAGTTGAAGTAGTTGAAGGTTTCACACATGCCCTTTATCCTTCCTTTAGCCTTGGGATAAATTTGGCTCCTAATTTTTTTTTTTTCCAGTAACATGTTTCTAACTTTTCCTGGTCTTTTTCTACAGGGTCTGAGTATTCATAGTTCATGACTGGAAACCTCCTGAGTCAGCACTGGCTACTTCCAAGCAAGTGTCTAAAAATATTGATGGAATTGGGAATGCACTTGGCAAGGTCAGACTCCCCAAAAGGATGAGAGGAGCAAGTGCACGTGTGCCTGGCAGAGACGGACAAAGATGAGGGTTTGTAGGACCTGAACTCCTGCAAATGCTGTGGTTTGGGGGCTCAACCTGCCCCCTTTCTGCTGTAGGAGATCTCAGCAGTGCTGCCTTCCCTCCTTCCTCCAGTGGCAGGGTGCACGGGAGCTGGGACGCAGCCCAAGGGGTGATGTCTGATGCTTGGTGCGGGCCATTTTCACATGTCCACAGCAAACACAGGCCCACCAGGGACAGGGGCTGGCCATGTCACAGGATCCATCACAAACTCCCTTGCAGCTTTGTCCTTATTTTCTTGCTCGCACCAGGTACGTGAGGAGAAGCAGCAATGTAACACTGCCCTTTTTCTCCCTTGTGTGTCCTAATCTTACTCCTGCTTATTTTGTTTCCAGTAATAACTTAGGACATGGAGATATTTTTCAGTTCTAGGTCCTGCGCCTCAAGCCCTAAGAAATGGCCCCAGGTGTTGAACAGCAAATAACAATCCTATTTCTGGCTGCACGTAAGTCAGCAGAGATGTCTGACTGCCCAGATTCTCAAAGGGAAAGGCAGAAAAGATATTAGGCCAGACAGGACCAAACTACAGGCTAATCCTCTCCACTCTACGTTTCTCAAAGCTCCCTCACTAACGGGCTCTGCACTGCTAACTGCTCCATCAGCAGTCTGCATTGCAAAGGGCATAGCGATCAGCAAGTAAAACTGGCACGTCCCGTCTCAGCTACTTCTTGCTTCTTCTGTCAGCCCCAGGAGGGCAAGAAATAGCTCTATCATACCAGCTTGTCCAGTCACTTCTTAATTAATGCACTTGTAGGAGAAGATCATCAAGGTTTTGGACTGCTGTTGTGGGCAAAGTGAGGGCTCTTGTCCATGAGCACTGCAGAGCAATTAGTGCAAATTGTGGGTTCAATAACATGACATTAGCCCTGGAGAAGCCTGCAGAGCAGAGAGTGCCAAAGGCATCTCCAGCAGCAGGGTACCTGTCAGGGTCACGCTGCCCGTGGCTGCTTTGAGCCTCTCCGTGGATAGATAAATATGGTGAATGAGAGAGATGTTTTAGGGCTGCTCCCCTTCCTGAAATCTAGGATACAGAAAAAATTTTCAAAACCTGTGCCCGCCTTAATGTTTATAAAATTCACAGGGCCTGTGTGGGAGCAAGTGGAGGACTTGAGAATAGAGCAGGGAGTCTTTGCAGGAGGAAAAGGAGAGGACAGAACAGCAGGCTGACAGGTTTCAGAAAGAAGAAAGTACAAAGGGAGAAAGCAGCAGTTCCCCGAGATGTATGTCATTTTATATATCATCAGCTCCTAGGACATTTAATGTGAAATATTCCAGCACCCAAGCACACTGCTATAACTATACAGTCTCTGCTGTGTGTCCCTGCAGACGTCTTGCTCCCCTTTCTCTGTCCTTGTCTTTTCCCCCTCCTCCCCTTTCCTCTAAAACAGCCCCAGAGCCCCAGCACTGACAGAGGATCACTTGCAGAAATAGCAGCTTTGTGTGGCAAATAAATATAATACCTGCGAAATATAATACCTGCGAAATATAATACCTGCTAAAAGAAGGGGACATCATGATTGACGAGGTGAGAAAGGTGTTTGCTTCAGCCCTGCCCCAGAGAGCAGCTGCAGCAGGTCCCTCCTGGGACCAGGAGGTTTCCATATGCTCTGCCTCCTGCTCTCACATCAAGCAGATCCTTTTTATCCTGAAGTAAGTTTAGACAGCAGATACATAAATAATAGTGTCTGGCTGTTCTCCACTTCTTTATATATTCCTGTCATGCCCTCCTCACAGCCTTTGAGGAGCTGGAAGTGATGAGGCTGGACCTGGGAGGACCTTGCAGGGGAGGCCTTGGATGCGGGAGAGGTCATCCTTGACTCGAGGCTGCCTGGCTCTCCACAGATTTCATCCTTAGCCTTTGACTGCCTGCCAGAATTTACAGCTGTGCCTGGCAGACAGAGGTTAGAGATGGGAGCCCAGATGACTTGTGCAGTAGTAAATCACTGCCCACAAGTTTATCATGGAACAATGACAAATCTGATTGAAGGGGCAGGAGGGCAATTAGGTATGGGGACTGCCACCACCAGAGCTGGTATTTGACCTAGATGTTGACTTTAATCTCCTCCTGCACATGATGGTTATCAAGAAAGCATGGCTCATGAAGGATCAGCTTCAAAGCTCATCCCACCCAGCTGGACAGCTTTTTTGCTGGGGCAACCAGCACTGGATTGCAGTGTGATATGAGCAGGAGAGCATCACCGACTGAGTCACCCTCCTGAAATATCCTGGAAGATGGTCGGAGCACCTGAGAACTGCGATTCCAAAGGGATGCTATATAGAAAACCCACAGCAATTAAAAGCAGGGTTAGAAGTCTTCAGATGCAGCAGCACAAGAAACCCATAAAATGTGTAGTCTAAAGGCTTGGCCATTCAAGAAGACAGAGATGTACTGGTATAGATGCACAGCCCTTCAAGACAACTATTGGACACTTATTCATGAATTTGACTCGAGCAGTGAGCCTTGCTTGAAGCCAAAGGAGTAAATCAGTACTGATGGAGCAGATAGGATGAAAGCAAAGAAATGGAGCTCTTCTACTGAGTGTCAAGAGTCTGAAAGAGGAGCAGAAGACATTTGCTTTTTACTTTTGAAGTGTAAATATAAGCTTCAAAATGCCCTGCTCTCTGTTCAAATAGACCAAGGGAATGCACAAAAGGATTGCCAGGAAGGATTGTGCAAGTATTTGTACATTACCCCATCCCAAGACCTTGCAGCACACCGTACAGCTGTAATGCTGCAGGTCACTGGCAAATTAGACAATGACAAGAATTTGTGTTTTATAGATGAGGACTGCCAGGCAGGTCAATGACTATGTGAGGAACGGGACTCAGATGCTCCTGACATCCCATCCAAATGTTGTTCTTCAGGCCATGGAGAGCGGATCTTTTCCAGCAAGAAGGGCTGTGGAGGAAGGGACTGAACTGGCTAGCACAAAACACAACACAGGTCTTAACTAAGGCAAGCTTCAGCAACACGAGGAAGAGCCCAGATTAGTGGCTTAGATCATTCAGGCAGACAGTTTAATAACCAAGCATTAGCCACTGTCAGAGGAAGAAAGCGATCAACGATCATCTAATTAATGCATGCGTTTCACGCCATCAGGGCGATCAGCACTTCATGTAGGGAATAAAGGTAGAGTCCTTATGGCTGGTAGATGAATGGATTAGCTCTATGGAGCATGTTGGGTCCAGGGCTGAAGAGACAAGGCCACAATGCTCTGTATAGCATATGTACATGCTCTTACTGCTGCTTAGCATTGCTTCGTTGAATGTTGGCTGCCTGTCACCAGCACAATGCTAATGCTAATGCTGTTCTGGCTTAGAAAGAACTAGGAGTAGGTTGAGATATTCCTGTGCTGTGTAGGAAGAGGAGCAGTGTGTAGACAACAGGAGGAGGAGGACAACAATAAAGTTTGGGCAGAAGGGCACAGAGATCACAAAAAAAAAAATAAATGGTGCAGTGAGGAGAAAAACCCATCATCCTTGAGATAAAAATGGAAATTCAGCACAAAGGTTTTCTGCGTCGAATGCTTCGTTGAAAAGTGACTAAAGATTGAGGACAGACTGTCCTGCTGGATTCTGGACAAATGACAAGCCATGTGTCCAGCCCCGCAAGGGATGCAGAATGAGACATGCCATTGCTTGTATCTCCCTCCAGCAGCCTGTCAAATGAAATCTCCATCTGGCTGACCAGCCTGTACCTCCTGGGCATGGGTACAGAGCAGGGATTACTCCTCAGTTACTCACATGTATGCACACACACTCTATGGACCACACTGAGCTCCACTTCCCTGGGAGCCATCGCTAATCCACACTGGCACAAAATAGGAAAAGATGCCAAAATCTAGCATGTTAAAACCACTGCTTTTGCTCCTTGAGTGCCCTGAAGCATGCTACATACGATCTGTCTCTTACTCTCTCAATTTTCTGCTGAAAGTAGGATCAAACTCCTCTCTCCTGTTGCTTGCCACTTTCAGAAGCCCTGACCCAAGGGAACGCTGCTACGCTGTGCTTGCGTCTCTTGCAGTGAGCTCAGGCAAGGCTCCTGCTGTAAAAAGGGGATCGACTGGCTGACTCTATGGTTTCAATTTGATCCGCTTCACCTATTAGCAAAACCAAGTCGGATATCATTGCACTGACCTATTCATTTGGGGCTGGCAATGAAACACAGCTGAGCTGCATCCTACCATTCAGCACTGGTTACTTTACAAGGGCGAGGCTGAGGGATGCTGAAGTCCCAGCGCCAGTGCAAAAGGAAGGTGGGGGTGTGACAGAGAGCCCTTCTGCCTTTCCTACTCACAATCTCGTACTAATGTCAACACAAATTGTTCTTTAAATGGCTGGGGAATTAATCCAAATCAGACCACTCTCTATAGAGAAGGGCATTGCCCAGCCTAGGAATCTCCGGAGACACGCAACTGCTTCAAAACCCAGGGGTTTTCAATCCTCCACTCAAGATGCTGCCAGACAGCAGCATGTCAGGATCCAACATTACGTACAGAGGTCATTCAATAAAACAATGGGGGGAGAGGGAAGGGGGGGCTCCACAGGGCCAACACACTCCAAGGGATATTTGACAAAAGTGAGCATGATGACTCTCTCCATAGAGTCTGTATCATGCATGACACCTGTTCAGGTCACTTCCATTCAGAAACCTTTTGGAGACTCATGAAAATAGGAAGTGGAAGAGTACAAGTTGTTTGCCTTTCCCAGAAAGAGTACTGCAGCCCTGCGAGCCTCCTCAGTGTACAAGGGCAGCCTGCTCACCTTGGCACTTCAGAGAGTCTTTTAGGGAGCTCCAATCCACTTTCTTGCTCCTTGGAGCTCTTTTTTGCATCTGTCCAACCCCTTGCAATATTACCCACAAAGACTGCCCCATTTTCAGCTGCTACATCCAGCTCCTGAGTCCTACGTGAGCATTCTGGGCTTTTTTTCCCCCAAAGAACAGGTTGGCTGGAAGGGACCCAAAACCACCGTAACATCTGACCACAGCAGAAAGGGCCACTCAACCCCCTGAAATCGGCATCACAATCTCCCTTCCGAAATAGAAGAACTGTCCGTCTAGTGAAGAAAGAGTTTGTCAGATGTCAAGCAGCAGTCTACCTGCTGGTGCTGTGAGCCCCAGGGGAAATTCTCTCTGAGCACAGCTGGTGCTTAGCCCATGCCCCCAAGCATGAATTTGAATTTTCCCTGTCTAATATTGTTCACCTGGGCAGTCACAGAGAAATTAGACTGAGACAGTTCTGTCCTTCTCTTGGCACTAAAAGTAGAATATTAGCTGGCAGCTTCACTACAGGCAGATGCAGGCAGGCCAGGCACTGCTTTTCTTACTCTCAAATTTTGGTCAGATAAGGCACAAGACTCCCTTACCTGTCTAACATCAGCACATTTCTAACAGCAAAAATGCAACTCTCTCCTTTTCTGCTTTCATAGCAGATCTTTGGCAATTCTTCTCTGTTTTGGATACAAGTATACATAAGCGAAAACACAATGATTTTACAATAGAATTCCTTTTATGGATATGTGCTCTTCTCCTTTAAACTGGTGTAACTAAAATAACACTTCTGTTTCAACTGAGCTTTTTGTATTTGCATCATTATAACCCTTGACTGCCAGGCTAGCAATTCCAGAAACTTCAGGTTCAGAGCAGTTGTAATATATTCCTTTAGAAAGTAGTTTATTAAACAACAATTTTTTTTCACTGATCACCAGGCAATGTCACCGTGACTGCTGATAAAAAAAAGATTAATTTAAATTTTAAAGATCACCTTCTGTTGCTATTAGGAACTGAATATCTTTCATTAGGTGCCAGAGAGTTATCAGAATTACTTTCTGTTCTAGAGACAGGAAAAATTCTGATAATTCATTTATCACACTATAAGGCTAACTTATTAATAAAACCAGACACTCTTGTGGAGGCTGTTGGATGAAATAATTGAACTAAGGTTTGATTTAGCATTCACAGCAGTCAACTGAAGAGGGAACAGTCTGTATAATGTCAGTACATAGATGCGTAAATTCACTGGCACCACCAAAGCACTTTTGCTGCAGTCTGTATCTAATAAGAAAAATTTCGGCTTTTACACTGGTGAAGGAGGAACAGGGACTTGAGTACAGAATTGTAACACTGATGTGAATATCCTGCCCTCCCCCTTCCCCATCACCCAGGCACCCTATAGTCTCTTTGGTGCATTTTTCCCTTCTTGTTTTGAATTTCCACAAAAGAAATGTTCCCTCTTAGCCATATCCAGCTACATCACGTATATTTTTTTTCTACTGGCTGCAAGAGCAATGATCTCAACAAGATACTGCTGCTAAAATTATATATTGCTTTTTCTGCCTTGGACAGCCAGGCTGTTTAAAGTTGTCACTTAATTCCCTGCCAAAACTGTTGTCATCTCAGCAGAAATCCAGCAAAATTACAATTTATTTAAAATAATAATATAATTCTACACTTATATTTTAAAATATAAGTACGGAAAAACCTGAGTATCTAAGAAAACCAGACAGTTCCTTATTGCAATAAAATAGTTCACCACCCACATTGACTTCTCCCCAACCTTGACTCGCTCTTGATTTATTCTCCAATAGAAACACACTAATGAACCTATACTGTGAACTTTGCTGTCTTGTTTACAATTTCTCAGCATGAAAATGTTGGTGAAGCAGAATAATATTTTCTGAACAGAACCGATAACAATCGATCTCTTGAATGGAGCGAGGTGTGCTGATTATACGTTTGCATAAGGTTTCTGGATGAGAAATTTTCACTTTTGCATTGGTAACTGTAAATTAGAACCTGCTAAGGGCTACCACGCATGAGACTGCTACAGAGCAAGTTGTTCAAGGTTACTGAACCACATACACTGTTGTGTTGTAGCACTCCCAGCAAAGGCTGCGCTTCGACACAGCGTAGCTGCACAGCAGCTCAGAACAACAGCTGGAGGGAGAGGGAAACAAGCGGTATCACGGATCTTAGTGGGCATTAGAGAGCTGAGAACCTGCCATTTGCTTGTGCGGAAAGACTGGACCCAGGGGCACATGCCAAAGGATGGTACGCATGGCTACAGCCTTGGGGTCCTGCCTCCAGAGCATCCCCAGGAGCTGGAGAAGGCTAGACCTTGAGCTGATGACTTTATCAGTTGTGATCACCCAGCCAAGAGCAAAGCGAGGAAGGGAACCCACAGAAACTCACTGCCTTGTCTTTTAACCTGAGGACAAGTCCTGCCTGTAAATGACTGTGACCGTTGCCTAGTGGATAGTAAGCAGCTACCCAAGGGACCATTCCTGTGCTATGCAATGCATACTTTGTTTGCCCTAGCTACAACTAGTAATTAAGGGTACAAGGGGGAAAAAAAGGTAGAATTTGATCTCTACTCACATTTATGGGACAAAAGGACATCAAAAGAGTCTGCCCATCTTGTTGCTTCTTCTGTTGACAGTCTTCTGTAAAAAAAGGAAGAGGCAAGTTACAGACAACCCATGGCTGCCGATCCCCTCTGGGGCTGCTTGACAAGGACACTGAGGAAGGCTGGAATTCTTCTCACCTAACTTTGGAGGTCTACAATGTAGAGGTCTCCAGGTGAGCAGCAAGTCACCTCTAAAGGGCTCCCTTTAGAGTCAGTGAGGAGATACCAAGGGACTTGAAGGGACTTTACTCTTTTCATCTCACATCCCCAGGTAGGTGGGTAAAATAGGCCAGGTGAATCACACCCGAAAAGGGACCAATTTTTCCTCATTGACTCTAAGCAGAGGCCCAGGAAACAAGTTCAGATGTAGACATTTATACTGTAAAAGCCAAAAGTCAAGTGAAATTAAACCCACCCCTGCAGAAGTGTTTATTTCTCCTTCCTGACTTTCAGGGGAAGGTTAGAGTCTTAGCTCAGATGCAAGCAGTGACTTGTGATCAGATGAATCCCATCCCACTCATCTCTAACCAGGACTCTGGATTGTCTAAAGTATCTACCTTAAGCATTGTGCAAACTAACACAGGACTTTCTGGTAGTGTTTAATAGCAAGGCTTAGCTAAAGAGGACTGTGACCTGAAATTGCCGGTCACCTCTTTTACTGAGTCAACTGCTTTGATTTGTGATGACAGAGGGGTAAATTATCCTCAAATACATGCTGACATGTCCCATGTACAGCAGTGGGACTGTGCGCATGTCCTGTCTCACGGGACAACTCGTATCAATAATCCAGGTACTTTCTGAGGCTGTTCCTGCTGTGTCAGCACTGTTTTGTTTTCCTCCTTCCCTGTGGCTAAAAGAACTAGTCAAAGCTTATACAAATTACAATCAAAGGAAGATAATACTAGAGGGGGTGGTGGACAGGGAGGGGAAGGACAGAAATGGGGTTGGGGTGGGATGCTGCAGCTATACTCACTTCAAAGCCCGGTTGGGCTTGTCCGGAAGAATAGCTGTGAAATCATTATATGAGTCTGATTTGTGAGACAGGCAGCCCAGGCGAGTCCTCATCCCTCTGTTCCTGTGGTCGATGTGGGGGAGCAGGGGTGTGAGCAGGGGAAAACCAAAGAAGATGACGATTATAAGTCTAGCCAGAGTGGGGGAAAAAAAAAACCGAAACAAAACCAAACCAAAAAACCTCAGTGGCTCTGTGCCTCATCAGACCTGTGTCCTTGGTTCCCTCATCTGTTGGAGGGACCCTGAAACATCTCCAGTAAAATGCCAAGCAGACGCTAAGGACGGACACAGCACCAGAGCAGCTGAAGGCTCACCCACAACAGTCATTCAGCTGCTCTGACTAGCAAAAAGGTTTTTAAAGGCTGCGCTCTGGGATGGTTTCTTGGAAAGACCCGCTCAGGTCAGGTGTGGAAGGAGAGCAAAGGGCAGCAATACCTGAAGTCAGTCACCGCAATCTAGCAGCACCAAAACCAGCACAAATACCAGGGCTAGAGGGCAGGAGGGGGCTGGAGGAAGAAGAGAGGGAGTAGGGAGTAAGGCACCTGCAAGGTGAGTCTGTGCTGCAGAGCCATGAGACCCCAGCCAGGATCCCAAGCAGCTTCTTTAGACTCGGGGTTACATAAGCAGGCTAAAACTGCCTCTTTCCTGACAGGCTTACCCAGGCGGAAAATGGCTTTATTGCTTTTTTCCTCTAAATTTCAATCCAGCCCCAGAGCCTTCGCTCCTCCGCCAGCCCCTCGCATCCTTGCCAGCCCCTTCCCGGGATAGCCGGCGGATCCGCAGCATCCTTCATTACATAACCCCAGGACGGGGAGGACCACAAAGGGGGAGGGAAACGCCACACACACATGCATTATATGGGACTGGCATCATCTCCTCTCAAAGACACGTAGGTGCCCGTTAATGGCTTTACATGGTCTCTAGAAGGGTAGAGCCTGTGATTTGCTTCTCCAGCCCAAGGGCATCCCTTCTACTAGATTCCCTGGACATGGAATGAGGCCATTCTCTCCTCTGAACCACGGCAGGAGCATTTAGTGACCCAGTCTCCACTTCTCAGCTGCTGGACCTGCTTCTGAGCTGGAGAAAGCCCTTCTCCGAGCCCTGCTGCCAGACAGATGCCAAATACTTTCTGTGACTGCAGAGGGAAGTACAGTATTTTTCTCTTCCATATGTAATTCTTGCAGAACACTTCAGCACCAGCGACTGAGCCAATCTGTAGCACGCCCGTTTCCCCCTTCTTCTCCTGCCCTTCAGAGAGTTTCTATTATTGCACATTTTAATGTAATCTTAAAGCAAATTAAATGTTAATTAAATGCAATGAGTGTCTCCCTGGTGCAGCACAGGCAGCTCGCAGCATTTAACAAGCACAAAAACCTGGAGATCTTCAGTCACAGGAATTGTTGCACAGCCTCAAACTATGGGCCCATGGCTGGTGGTCCCAGGATGCTGTTACATAAACCTCAAACATCAGTGCAGAAATACTGCGTCCAAAGTGTCATGTTTCTGGCTGAGCATGCTGGACCTGCTGTGCTCAAACGGACACCGAGTCAGCTCTAAGGTCTTTCTGGTACCTTTCCTGATACCTCCTACCCCCCAACCTTTATCTTCCCTGCACTGTTTGTTCTAGCAAGCTCACAAATTTCTCAGCAAGCGGTGTGACATGCATTACCGCAATGCTGCTCAGATTTCTCTCTGATGCCTGAGATCAAGGGACTGCAGCAGGGAATCAGAGCGTATGGGGGACAGAGATGCTGCACCACGAGCAAGGAGCTTGTCTCTCGTGGAACATTGATCTCTAGGTGAGGACTTCCAAGACAGGACACAGAAGAAAGAGGGGGAAAGAAACCGGGTCCGCAGGAGGTAGAGAGGCAAGGGAAGGGCAGGAGGGAATAGGGGACACCACAGTGAGCTGAAAGGCTCGCTGGATGAGGCAGACAGCGACAGGATGGGCAGGGGTGAGGGATGCATCATGTCTTTTCAGTTACCTCCATGGGATCAGTAAGGCAGCCATTCAGGCATCCAGTTATAGTTAACCCTTTAACTGGCTGGCTTGGACTGCAGTCGGGGCTGTTTGCAGGAGGCAGGTGTGCGGGAAGGAGGGATTTACTGTTTCATGTCCTGGCACTTAAAAAAGTATCAAAGAATCCTCTGCAAAAAAAGGATGGCCAGTTGTTCTCAACCCATTTGATCCTTGCCTCCTAGCGCAGAAGGTCAGTTTTTCAATGGAAGACGTTCAGAGTTGAGGGATGATCACAGAGGAGAAACAGCATTTCCTTCTAAGACCAGGACCGCAGGTTAAGTCCAGCTTCAGGTCTAAAGTGATTTGAGTTTGGCGTCACAGCTCACCACGGAGCAGCAGGAGTTGGCATTATCGCACTCATCATTCAACACCTCTGAAGGTCTCTCCTCAACAGGCAGAGCTCCGGGCTGACCTTGCTAAGAAGACCAAACTACCTCTTGTCCCTGTCCCTCCAGGTCATGGCTGATGTTACTGGCCAGGCATCATGGAAAAGCTGGCACTGCAAATAAAATAACAGGAGGACTTCACGCGTCTGCAGATGCTGGTCCTTTCACCATCACAGGCTCAAGCACTCACACAAAAATAACTCAAAGAAAGCATCTCCTTTTCAGGGTGGTGGGAGCCTGTGGGAAGCCACTGAGGAGATGCACAGTCTGCAAAAGGGAAGAAGGGAGGGACGAAGGGAGGGAGGGAATGGCAGGGTCCCCATGAGCCTTGGTTGAACAAGTCTCACATCAGAGAGTAAAGGCGAGGTCTACCAGCCGGGAGACCAATGGGACAGAGAGCAGGACTGTATAGCGAGCAAAGGGCAAAGATTTCTTCTTTGTGAGGACAGGGCCAAGCTCCAAGTAACCTCCATGTTCTCTTCCCCAGAGGGAAGAACTGAGGAGGAGACAAAGGAACTGATGATAGCAGAGACTGTGTGCAAAGGACCCAGGACCCTGCTCTGCTGGGGCCTGGGGAGATCCCAGAGCTTGGGCTGCCCAATGCAACAACCCTTTTAAAACCTGATTACATTAAAAACGCACAAAGCCTCTTCCCGACTAAATTAATGGAACTGGGATTGCGCTACATGCCAGTGAGTGCATCTCCTTAATCTCTACCCTGACCGGCTGTTTCGATGTGCTTTAACTGAAATCAATCCTTGTAATTCCTTAAGCCCCTTTAAATTTCCTCATTAACGGCCTCACCCACATGTGGGGCCACAGCATATGATTTCCTAGAGTCCAGCAGCGCCTACTCCTCTTTCCCACTGCTGCTCTGAAGTGACAGCTGAAAGTGGAGCCGGGTGCCCTCTTCCTTGCAGCCTCCTCTAGCAGCCTGCTTTTGGGGGTACTGTTATGAAACAGCCTTCTGCTTGCCCACGCTCCCCCCAGCTCACCAGCCCCCGCAGCAACAACCTGCACAGCTGAGCAGCACCGAACTTCCCTGGGATCCCAAAGTCTGTCTGACTTCACGGACGCAGAGACCTGTATTTCCCACGGAGGCAATTCCACTGCTAGGCTGACATACCCATGGATATTTCCTCTGATTGCAAATAAAGCCAGTCACTTATGACTTTAGAAATCTAATCTGTGGCGTCTGGCAAAGGCATCCCAGTAGGGGTCCATGGTGAGGTTTTTTGCCTCCCACTCCATCATTCATCCTACCTCCCCCTCCTACGAAAGGACCCCGGTCAAGGAGAATTGCCAGTCTCATCACAGATGTGTTTTGGGGGTCTCTCCTTGGGAGACAGAAAGGGAGGGGTGCGATTATGACATTCAGGTTATCAAACCACCCCCAGAGATCACCTGAGTGAAGATAAAGAAGCCATCCCAATAGAAAAAATTAGCAGCACAAAGGTTAAAAAAAACCAAAACACAAACTATGAAGATCTCAGGGGCTTTAAGAGATTAAGACCATCCATTCGCATGCAGAGAAAGCCAGAAAAAAAATGAACACAGAGGCACTGCAGACAGACAGACACAGAGAAAAAGATACTCACTGCCTTTGACCTGTCCTCTCTGCCGGTGGGTCTGTGCCGACAGCGTGGTCAAAGAGGCTCTGGGGAGAGAGCAGAGCTGTCTTCTTCAGAGACAACCCCCTGCACGGGGTGAAAGTCACACTTTGACACCCCTCCCCTCCCCACCTCTCTCTGGGCAGTAGCAGCGCAGCTCAGAGCGGCTCTCTCACATCCAGCAAAACCCTACAGCAGCCTCAACCCAGCAGGCTGGGGCTCCGCTGCGCAGCCAGCTCCCACCGCGGCACTGCCGAGGAGCCCACCAGATCAGCGCATTTCGCCGCATCCCCTCCTCACCCACCTGGCAGCAAAACCCCAGCTTCTCCCCCGTTGGAGATGGGGGACCGCTCCGCACAGGCGGTGGATGCCAAAGGCTGGCAGGGAGCATCTGGGGGCGGGGAGGGGGGATGCCTGCGAAAGCGCTCGCTGTTGTCACCCTCGGTATGTTGGAATAAAGCATCCGCCTGCATCGTTTTAATCGGCTCCTCTGAGGTTTAGGGAAGGTTGCTGCCCTCGCATCGTCAGGAGTTGCCACAGACAGAAGGGATGGGAGACTTTAATTAAAGAGCCCAGGTGTCAGCAGGGCCAAATAAAACGTTAACAGGAAAGAGAGTACCTTACTGCAGGGCATAGGATGACAGAATTAAAAATCCACCTGGCAAGTCAGTGATGTGATTGACCCCTTTAATCCATCTCCCCTTCCCTCACCAGATGTGTGCAGTCCTGCTCACTCCCTGCCCCACAGCAGTCTCCTTGAAACCTCCGTCAGTGTGCTTACCCCACGGTACAGCCTCCGATTCCCTTTTCTCTCCTGCACCCACACCTCTGTCCTCCAGAGAATGTATATGGGGTGTCCAGTGCACTCCAGTGACTCCAACAACAACCTAACCCAAGGCACCTACATGGTGGGGCTGCTGCGCAGCCCCCCAGCTGCGGGCTTAGCTCAGCCATCAGTAACAACATCTGGGTGTCACGCAGGCTGCACAGGCACTGATGTGGGTCACTGACTCACTGAGAGCTCAAGCCATGGGATCTCCATTGCTTTTTTTGATCCTGATGAAGCTGATTGACTAAAAAAAATAATAAATAATAATAATAATTAAAAAAAAGTCCTCTGCAGTTAAACAAGTCATTGCCTTTTTCCTAGAAACTTGTAGTCACCTGCCTCTTCTCTGCTAAAACACTGCTGGGCCTAGCAGGAAGCATGTCTTGAGATAGCACATTATCACCAGGCAACATCCCTGGGGGAGGACAGAGTCCTGCAAAACACAGGGGTCAGTAGCACTGTAGCAATGATTCCAGCTCTCCATCATCTTGGATCCCCCTCCTTCACAGCTCAACCTGGCAAGGAAATATTTGCCTTGTTCTCATCCTCCCATTGCAAAGCCCAGGTCATCCTGACTCAGATTAATTATGTCTCCAGTTATCAGAAGACAAGCACTGAAAAAATGCCATGGCTGGTACAATCTCCTTTCAGCCAAGGTCAAAGGTTGAGGTTCATCTTATGCCTCTGGTACAACAGGCTGGTTTGTTCAAGTTAAATAACAGTCAGCTTTAGCCCTTGCCCCAAACCCAAGCCAAATTTAATACAACATCATCAAGGGTTTAACTTCTAACATGTCATTTTTGTTTTAATGTGTTTCCACACTTCCTGGTTCTCTCTGGGCAACCGCAGGATGTCACAAGTGACAGTGTTTTCATAATACTTCCAGGACATCCCTCAGATCTCATTTACACACACAGACATTGTAGGGTGGGGGAGGTCAACAAAACATTCAATCAACAAAACTCTAGATAATTCTAGCCCATTATTCAGATGACTGGACTTTGCTGCAGTCTCAAACAGATCAAAAACTCTGATCCACTACCTCTGAATGGAATATATCAGAGGACCATGTGAGTGCTCCTGCTCCTCCTCCTGCTTTTATACCAGTTTTATATAGTGCCATCTCACAGCCATCACCAGCATGGACAGAGCCCCCAGTCCCTGTTTCTCCAGTACATCAGCACACCCCTTCATGACCTCAGTGAGATCCTAGAGCAACCCACAAGTAACTCTGAAGATCAACTGTTTTTTCTTCTAGTTTCCTGTGCCAGGTGTGAGTTAATAGAGAACAAAAATAAGTGAACTGTGTTGACAGAAGCACCATGGGAAATGTAATTAAATTGCAGATAAAGAGAATTCTATTTTTTACAGGGTAATATTTTAGAAAGCTTCCGTGCAATAGAAGGGGTTTATAGCAAATTCCTTCTAAAATAGCCCTCCTGCTTCTGACTACTCTGTAGCTTCTATTTAAAAGCTTTTAATAAAATAACTCATTTTGATATTAGGCTCGAATCCCATCCAATATTTTAAATCTCTCCAAGAAATACTTTAAAGCAATTTCCTCATGACCTGCTAACAGCAAATACACAAGCAGTGAAAACATGCATCTTTGGGACTGTTGGCTGTCACCGGGCAGGGTGGAAGGGAATTTGCCAGCCTGTGCCCTGGGCATTAATCTTCTCTCCACCATTTCCAGGGTCCTTTTCACCCTCCCTATTATTTTAAATGCCCCCCCTGCCTATTCTGTGTGTTTTGTCTCTTGATCATCATTCAAGTGTTTTTTACCCAAAAACTTCTTCTGGACCAAACACCTCCACCAGTTTCACTTGGTCCCGGTTTCTGCCACCCAACCACTAGATAAAATTGCATGGCCTGAAGACATCTCTTCCTTCCAGTATGGCTGTCCTTACGAGGCTGGCAGGACAGACAGACCAGGAAAGCAGCTCTGGCTGGTAGTTGCGTGGCTTTTGTCTCTCCAGATACAGGGATGCTCCTCCCGGGGCTGGCAGCTGACCGCCCTTCTCAGTTTGGAGCTGGAAGATCAGAGGATGCCAACACTGACTAGCTCATTTGCCTGGCTGACATCTCCAGTGGGTTTGCCTTAAACAAACTCCTTCACCTTGACATTTAAGCAGACTTCTCCCTATCTTCTCACTCTTGCTCTGTTTCCTCGGGGGTCTGCTGCCGCTCCGGGATTCCATTATTTTATGCCTAACGAGCCATCACACCGAGCCTGCCATGTCGCTTCCACTTCTCATTTCTGACTTTGTGGCCTTGTCATATTTACAGTGATCCATGCCACAAGGGCTTTGAACTTCTTTAGGGTTGCATTTGCTCTTACTTTGTGACTTTTCCTGGGTCTATGCCAGCATCTCTCTTTTCTAGTACCGTGCTGCAAGGAGCTTGTTCAAGGGTGTGCTTCACAACTTGCTAGTCCAAGAGATTTTTCCCTGGCACCAAGAAAGTGCTTCTTCAGACTGCTGTGATGTTTGGCAGCTACATCCCCATAGGTGAAGTCAGTCTTTGGTATGTTTTCATGAGATCCTGTTGCCTTTGGGATCTCTCCGGAAGGTGCTCTGTGATGTAGGCTCTGTGATTGCAAAATGCCAAGTACATGAGGCCAAGCTGCCTCCCACAGTGGTCACTGTTTTGGGAATTCAGGTGACCTGCACGCTGCAAAGCCTGCCTTTGGCTCAACCACAAGCCTCCAGCCACGGTCCACTTCTGCTGTGACACAAGGGGGCTTTGGTTTTTTTGCTGGAGGACTGGAAGGAACAATCACCCTTGACCTGGAATGACAATCCTAGCAAATCTCTTGTGACACAAAGTGTCATTTGATCTCCTCCCATACATGGTCATTCAAAATTTATCCAGAACCCAGACTGGTACCTATATGGGCCCAACCCCAAGGTAATTCAAATTAGTAACTAATTTACCTCCAGAGCTTGCTGTTCTCCACCACTGTTTGCAATTAAAACCAGAAGAATATTGTTAGTAACTGACATCTGACAACATGCAGTGCTCTGCTCACTGTGCCCACCTGCCTGCCTGCTTGTTTTAGGGTTCGGGGGGAAAACGCACTTGGTCCAGCATGAGGTGACTGCCTTGGCAGGAGGGAATTACCATTGACATAGATAGCTTCCTAAACTGCAAAACAAACCACAAACTTGTCTCACGTATGAAGAAAGCCACAAGAACAGCTTCCTCCCTCTTCTGAAAAAGGAGCTCCAGTAACATCAGGAAATATCCACAAGATGTAGCTGAGAGTATTTTTAAAGGGTTAATTTTTTCTATTCACCTTAAACCTCAAATCATTCTCCACATCAGGCCAGGCAGTCAGGAAATCCTGAAAGGTGAAACAAGGAGAGCTTGAGTTTCAGGGGTAGGTGAGGAAAGCAGGCAGCTGATATACTGGATGGAGGTTGATAAAAGAAGCCACCTCACATGTGCTAACGAGGCAGGGAAGGAGATAGGAGACACCCACTGAGTTGAACTCCCCTTGACAGTAGAAGACTGTGCTTAAAAATAAAAATGAGTTACATAAAGTGCGATCCACGGTTCTGCCTCTGGCTTAGCTCGAGAGCATCGCAGCTATTTAAATTCTCCCCTGTGTCAATGATAAAAGCATCTTCTGGACATGTTTGTGGCTTTCGGGCATCGCGATCGCTGCAGCATAACAGATGCCTCCGCTGCGAGATGGCTCCTGGCCCCAGCCTGCGCTCCCAACTCCCTCCCCAATTCCTCCAGGCAGGTAGCACACAAAACCAACAGCTAAGCAGTGTGGGAGGCTCCGGGCTGAGAGGGGCAGTGCGCGAGACAGGAATCAAAGGGAAGAATTTCCCCTTTAAAGCACTTTATTACAATTTCATAATTGTTCTCTGAGGAAACATGCTCCCATGCCCAGGAGCAGTTACACGTAAAGAAGCGCGTCGGTGCCTCTGTGTGTGCGTTGGAGAGGATGCTGTTAGCGTGGAGCAGGGAGGCAGAAAGGATTGGAGTTGACACAGAGCTGCTCCGTGCAGCCTTGGAGTCCTCCCAGCTTTCAGGATCGCTGCTGCTGTCAATATGGCAGCATCTGTAATGCAGTTGGTGTGTATGGCTGGGAAGCCGAGACAGATCCATCCTGATAGACAGAGCTTCACAAAGATCCCCTACTGCGGATGCTCCATCCCTTGTACGTTTTGATTGAGATCTGATGCTCAACACGGGCCAGGGAGTGAGGCTTGCTGAAAGATGGGGTTAATTTTCTGCTGAGAGATCATTCGAGGTGCTCATAAGCATCCTGCATTTTGCAAGCTGAACTGCAAACTAGTCATTTATTTAAAGTTAGAACTCAACCTGAAGATCTCCGGGTTGCAGTCACAAATCCATTTATGATGGACAAGGTCTATGCTTCTTTGCTGTTATCACTGCTATTTCAAAGACCTGGGCTTACAGGGCATCCAGGTCCCACAGCAAGGATTTACTAGGGCTATTAATCGCTATACAGATACGCAACATAGCACTGGGAGGTCATTCCCGCTGCTGCAAAACACCTGAGCACGTGCTTAACTTTAAACATGTGAGCAGTTGAATGGATATTTGTACGATGAAATACAAACAGAGTTAACCACATGGGTGAGCTGGGATTTCTCTTTCATCTCTGGAGGCTGCTGCTCTAGCCCTAATTAAAACATAAATGAAGTGAGTTAGATGGGCTCATCCTCTTTCTCCAGCAGACGGTGGTTATTCATAAAAATGTCTGCTGCATCCAGCACCAATCATTGCTTTGTCCTGCCAGTCTGGATAGAGATGCATAGTGAGCTCTGCCAACGCCTGCCCTAGTCAAGCCTTAAGGACTGAGCAAAATCTCCAGAACCGCATGGAAGGACTGCAGGGCAAGAGGCCAGGCTTGTGCTGCCAATGCAGACAGTGCTGCTTCGGAGGAGCCTGGGGCTGCAGGAACAAGTGGGTCTCAGAGAAGGGCAGCACAACAGGACAGCGAAAGCACAGCCCTTTATGCAACGTGTATGCTCCCCAGATGGAGGAATGCAACTGCATTCCTCTGGGACTGGGTGCAGTGATAAACAGCCACAGAGAGAAGATGCTAGCACAACGGGTCCCTTGTATTTCTTAGCTGTGCCAAATTACCAGCTTATTCCCCCCACCCATGGAATGGCAGAAATAGCCCTTGCCGCTGCAGGGATCCCCATGAGTTACAGCAGCCCCGCAGCCAGGGCTGCAGGAAAATGAGCCCCCTCAGGTCAGCCCCCCGTTCTTCTCCCAAAGAGTGCACATGCTCCTGCCATCTGCAAGTTTTTGCTACAGTCTCTGCTCAATGCAGTTCTCTCGCCTCCAACATGTTCTCCTTTCGCTCCAATTAGTCTTATTTTTAACTAGCTCAGCCCCAGCTTTCAGCCTGGGTGTTAGTTGCAATGTCACAGATACCCAAATATTCCAAGGAAATGCAATCCACCATTTAAAAATAACAACAGCAAAGGGAGAAAAAAAATGAAAAGATGGTAAAGATCTCAGAGCTGCAGGCACCAGCACAGACTGATGTTTTCTCCCCGCATCAAAGGCCCACCACTAATCCCATTGAAACGGAGATCACCCCAGAACCAGTCCTGCTCCTGTATCAGTCCAGCCAGGGCTGGGCTGGGCTTAACATAAGAAATACGCTGCTCTCTTTTGCTGCCTGCTAATTAGAAGCGGTGTCTGTGTCCCTTTGACCATTCGTAAGATGCCACGGGAAGATTAATGCACCGGGAGAAGCACTGCCGTGACATTAATAGGGGTGACATCTGAGCAGCACCCTTCCCCTCCCACTTTGCCTGGGGAGCCATCCTCCCCCCCAGAAAACTGGGACAGGAGCAAGTAAAAATCCCTCCCCCAGGGACTCGTAACCACAGGGCCTTTCATCACCCACCAAGGCCCTCCTAGCTCTTACCTGTCTTGCAGCTGGCAGCAGGGTGGTGGCTACGTGGCTTTTGGTGCTTGATGGACATGGCTGGTTGGGACCCTGAGGAACAGTGTCTGCAGACTCCCAGTGCATCAGGGAGGGCGAAGGACCCAGCCCGGTCACAGTTATCTCTGGAGGAGCAGCAGTACTGTGCCACTTTTCCTGGCTCCCTAGCCCTGCATCTCGTGAAAAGAACAAGAGCTGGTGGAAGGAGGGGGGTTACAAAAGAGAGGGAAGGGGGAGAAGGGAGAGCGAGAGCGCGCGCTCTCACAGATGCACACACGCAGAGCAGACAGAGGCTTGTATAGGATGGCACTGCCTGACTTGCTCTCATTATTGCCGCTGGCTGGCTGCTGCCCATGGAGAACTCGCCAGCAGCCGCTGCTAGCCAGGGGCACAGTGAGGAAAAGGGACAGGGAAAAAATTAGGACCTCATGGACCATCAGAGCAAGGAAAACTACCGCCTGGGCACTGGGGGCTTTGTTTTCTTTGTTTGCTTTTACCTAGGAGGGGAAGGGCCGTACTAGAGGGCAGGAAGGGATTGCAGTGATAAGAGTTCAGCTTCTCCTTTATGACTCCTTTCCTCCATTGAACATAAAAAAAATCCCCAACTGCAGTCCTCAGGTACACTTAGGGATGGTGTAGGACTAGCCTGACCCAGAGCTTTTAAAAATGGCATTACGTCAAGACAGACAGAAAATGGGCTGCGCATACCCAGAGCATCAACATCATTTAAAGCTCAGGCCCGCCCCGACCCCATTCCCATTATCCGGGTCATGCCGATACAGGTCCAAAGGCCTGGCCGGGCTGTTGGATGGTGTGGAAAGGCACTCCAGCCATAACACCTCCCCTCTGCATGCTGCACAGAAAGCTGTGTGCAGAGCTGCCTGCAGTCCCTGACACTCTGCTCATCTGCTGCAATGACAGACCCAAAATGCCAGGGATTCAGAAATCTAGGTGTAATCCTCCCCAAAGGGCTACCAATTCCTCACTCCACAGATTTTTACAATGTGCTTTTCTAAAGCATCACATGCTTAGAAGCACGTGCCCCTTTGGAAAGAAGCAAGAGCTTTGTCCCTAATGCCCTTGCCAGCTTTTTGAAAGATCCCACACCTCCTCCCCAATTCTGCCCTAGTGGCTTACCACTCAGAGGGGCTGGGTCTTGCCTAGGGTGCTCAGTTTGGTCAGCAGGATTAAAATGAAAGCAACATCAGATGCTTAAGGTATTATGCCCTTCCCTGAAACCCCCTACTCACCTGTTTACCGCAGCTCCCTACTCTAAGGTTTCCCACTGGTGATTTCAGAGACACACAGATATCTAGCCACAGGGCTGCTGTTAATAAAAAAATCAATGGGTGTGATGCACTGAATTACAAACACAGAAAGTCTCCAAGTCAATACCCTCCACAGCAGTTAACCTGAGAATACCCCACATTGCCAGGTCTGTATCTCTAAGTGACTAGTTTCAGTAATACACCTTCAAAACTCGCCTGAGATTGCACATGTGTCTACAGCAAAGCAGGACAGGATCGAGTCCTCCTGAGCCAAAATCCAGCACCCCAACCACCTGCCTTCTCAGCTGGCCTCAGGATGTTGGTACTCAGCTCCAGGAAATATCTCCCTCACGGGTCACTCTGCCAGGAGCTGTCAGAACATGTTTCAAGTCACAGCATGCCATCAGCCCTGGAATAGAAAAGGTCTTGCTATGGATTCATAGCTATGGATGGCTTCTGTGACCGTAGCAGCAGATACATTGGCCTAGGGAACGATCATTTCAGGACCTATAACCAGGTATCCTTATTTCCCACCACAAGAGGAGTAAGAAGCTGAGATATGATGCTATGTCAAGATCCTGACCATTTCCCCACCGTGGAGGGACTCCAGCAGAACTGGGGAGCTGGATCCCTTCAGGCTACTGAAGCAGGGAGTAATATCACTGCAAGGGGGCATGCAGGCATCTGTTTTCCAGCCCTGTGCACCTGTATCACTTATATCACTGATAAAGCTTCCCAGAGTCTCAGTGGATGCAAGTCAGCTTTCTTACACCCCGGGGCTGGGAGGTTTCCAAATGACATCCATTCTCTATAGGGCTGTTCTTAATGCAGATATACTGCAGTGCAATCTCCCAGTACACTCAGGGGGGTGGGGATGAACCGTCTTTGGGGAAAAATCTACCCACATCAGCATCTTCCGGGGAGTGAGGAGCCATCTGCTCTGTGCCCCAAAGCATGCAGCCACCCTTCCAGTCTCCAGGACACCGTGCAGCCTCCCATGGAGGCAGACCCTCCGGCATCCTCACAGCCACACGGCTGGGGTCCAACTTTCTTGGGGGAAAAAGGACAAGGCACCTCAGATGATCTGCAATGCAGCGTCCAGGACTTCGCAGGGTCGTGCCACTCGCAAGGGGACACTGCCAGCGCCGCTGTCCGTCACCACTGTGAAGCCTTTATAGGGGCAGGGATGGCTTCTCCCCGGGTGAGCCAGGATTTCCAGCTGTGTGTGAAAAATCAGAGGGTTTGTTTTGTACGTGTGCAAAAGCCTAAACTTAGTGAGCAAGATGTTAAGTCGTGAGGGGAAAATAGGCCATATTTATGTAACTGTGAAAAGCTGCAGTGAAGGCTACAGATCCAATGGGAGAGGAGTGAATGTTCAGGGCTAACGACAAACGCTGCTATTCACTCGGCTTTGTCAAGAGCTCCAGTAGCTGCATATTCATCGCCCGACACCCCAGAGAACCAGCTTTGAGGCTTTCCAGGCTAAGAATAGAGGTCTCGTTGTGTTTGCTGCTCCAAGGCCTGGGTTTTGTCCGGGATTAGAGGCACCGGGGTGTGGAAGCCCAGCTGAAGGAGCACTGCAAATGGCAGCATCTATGTACGCCTGTGAGCAGCGCAGGGCTGTCGGCTCAGCAGGGGTGGAAAGCGCTGAATAAAGGGTGAATTCATTCACAGCCACACAGGATGGCATTAGTGCTGGCCCTCTGCTCACAGAGAAGTCCCCCGTGGTGGATGGTGCGCTCACAAAACACGACTCCCTTGTGCATAAACAAAACTCAAGCATCTTTCAAAGCAGGCAGCCAGGTCAGTGCCATTACTGAAATTAGCAGCTCGTCCTAGCTGTAAAGTCTGATGGCTTGGATCCACCTCGGGAAGCCTGGTCCCTGCAGGGGCAGACAGCTTCACCAACAGTCTGCCTGCCCATGACATTTTGCTCCCCTTCCCCTCACACAGACATATTTCATCTTACTTAAACCAGGTCGTGAATCCAGCAATACCCAGCCTTGGAAATGTAAACCCCAGAGCTAGTCACTCAGGTGTTTTGCAGACACCCCACACTCTAAAGAGGTCTTCTAGCTCGAGATATCATCACATGGCAGCGCTGGTGGGAAACAGCATGATGCTTCATTTGTCTGGCTTTTAATTTGTGACCCTGGGACTCTGGTAAAGCCCTTCATTGATTAAACTGGGCTTGCAAATAGCAGAAAAAGCAAATATACTCCCAAAGGGAAACCAAGAGAAAAAGCACTAAATTTTGGCTGCTCGTGTAGCCTCTGGTTCCACTGGTCCCTGATCCTGGGGCCATGTTCCTGGACATCTATCCCATGACAGCAGGAGACGATTTCCAGAAAGGACGGTGACCCAGGGCTTTGAATGTCTGTAAGCAGAGTCCAAGCCAGGGGCAGTACTGAACAAAGGTATTGACCACAGACGGCCGTATCGTAACTTCTGTGTGAAGTCCAGCCTGGGAGGTAAGGGAGACCATCACATCACAGGGGAACAACAGGCCAGGGGCTACAACTGATCTGGCATGGTTTTTTTTCAAACAAATGAAGACAGAAATGAGGTTTTGAAACATACAAGGAAAAGCTCTGCAAAACAGATTAATCTCCTGAGGGAAAGCATAGTCTCTGGAGAAGGTCTTTCTTGCTAAAACATCACATAACAGAGAACTCTTCTGGGAAGGGACTCTTGAGATAACCTCTCTCTCTCCTGAAGTAAATGCCCTTGGGAGCAATACTCTTGGTAAAGTGTTTCTGGAGAAAAATGTCTTAAAAAAACTCGCTGTTAATCCTGCATTTACCCTTGCTGCAGCAGCAACACACATAGCTCAGAGGTAAGCCATTATCTTCCAACGCTGCCTCCTCATCACAACTGAGGAGGATATAACAACATTCCTGCTGCTCTCTCATTTCCTTCAGCTGTAGCTCACCTCTCACTCAGACTAACCTGCTGTGAGCAGCAACTCTGCAAAACGTGTTTTGGAGTCATATTCTGGCTTTGTGGTTCACAACAACAGGGGACTTCCCATCTGTTGCTGTTTGTTTAGCCCTTGCATTGCTAAACTAACATCTGGGAAAACTGCTGAGCCTCTATTTAAAGCATGGTGCACTTGGAGAGGAGACATGTGTGCCTTTACCCTCTACGGAAGTTGGTGTGACCTGAGTACCATTTGGCAAAGAACAAGAGGCCTGAGAACCAAGTCATCCCTCTCCACTGCCCAGACTGTTGCATTTAGATGCTCTCATGACACTGGCCAAGATATATAAATGCAGTCCAGCCATTTTGACCCTGAGAACTGGCTGCCACACCTGGAAAACCACATACCAGCTCTGACTAAGTACCTGCAATTAATTCGTCTTTCAGATTTCTACCAGTGCAGCCTGGCAAAACCCAGAGCCATGCTGCAAGGCAGCAGAAAGTCCCTTATAAGTAGCCATGAGTTGGGAAGGTCTGTCCCTTATGGGGCTAGTCCGGCAGGCAAGGCAGCCCCCGTAATCACCACCGGTGGTGAGACAGTGCTGACTCTGGTGCTTGAGGCTGGCTCTTACCCTCCTCCCTCCCTGCCAGCCTAACCCATCGCTTGCCCGACATCAACACTGCTACCTGCTTAGCCTTCACCGACACTGCCTCCAAGACTGGGGATAGCATAATCCTCTCCCTGTAAACCTTCTACCTCCTCTCCAAGTGGTTCAACAGTGTCCAAGGGCCCAAACGCCTAACTTCAATGCAGCCCAGCTCCCTAAAATAAGCAGAAGAAATTGCCAAGAGGTGAAAAAAGATACGAAACAGAGCTATGCCACATAAGACAAAGTTACAGGGTTGTTGCAGCAGGGT